ATTTACCCTTGTTTTAAAGACATATTCCCATGAGCAGCAGCTGGTTTGGGTGAGGTTGGGGGGGGGGGGTGTTAAATGGCTTGGGGGGTGGTGTCGGATGGTGGTGGGGGGCATGGGGGGTGGTGAAAGGAATGGTGGTGGGTTAAGGGTGGTAGTTGAAGTGATGTCGCAGTTCCGCAAGAGTTGATGGAAGCATGTAGCGAAGGTCACACAGGAACATATTTATAAATAACCTGTTCATTGCACAGAATAAAAGGCTTGGAATCTTTTTTCATTTCCTTGGATACCAACTGACATAAATGTAACCCATCATTATGACACAGACATTGCAGCCTAATTAGCGTGTACCAAGGATGACGTGGAATTAGACCTAGTTATCCCCATCTCTGTTGTTAAGACTATATTCTACACCCAAACAATTAAGTTGAATTGGTGATAAATTACCGACTCCCAGAGGTCTGAAAGTACCAGCATAAAAAGTTTCGATTTGTTTAGATCCGAAACCTGTGTATATGGGCAGCACAAAACGTGGTGGACCAGACTGTGCGACACAGTGGTTGCCAGGATCAGGTTGGGTTACCGTTACCTGTGGCAGGTGGCTACAGGTGACGGATCTCCCAATCCTGAGCACTCCAGTTGCAAACTCTGTGAGCAGGAACTGTGGCATGATCTCTCACACTACATCACTGACTGTCCAGTCATTAGACCCATCATCAGACCTGCTGGTATGAGGCACCTGGAGCTTGGCAATCACTTCATTAACTCACGTGTCCTTGATGATATCCTCATAATTCATCCAAAGTGTGTTTGAGGACTGGAGAGTATCGTCAACATGCTACCAGTAACAGTCTAGTGGGTCTTCATCATTAACCACACTAAGAACAGGCAGGGATCTACATGAGACTTGGGTCTTAATTACGGGACTACTTCTCACATAATAATTCATTTCTTGAATACTTTCTTCTCTTATTATGTCTCCATTCGCTTAGTTCTTCACTTTATACAGTATATATTTTATGTGGGATAATTCAACTGCTTTCTGAGAATGTAAAAGTATGTGGTCGCCCCACCGACCACATACTCTCTGATCTGTGGCATGTGGCCACACATGTTGGCCATCATACTTACAGGAACTCCACATAACACACAATAAAATCACAATAATGTGATATCTATGGGAAAACAAACCTATGGTCTAACACACAATCGACTTGAGAATGGTCCAGGACGGACCGAAACGTCGTCATCCCTTCACCTTCTAGTGTGTGATCTGGTCAACTTACTTCAGCCACGTTATTGTGACTCATCGCCTGCCTATGGTCTAACACAGCTGGATCAAGCCATATACAGACCTTTTCCCAATCCTAGGATCACAATGGTCATACTCACCTAGTTATACCCACCTAGTTAAACCCACCTATTTAGACCCATCTAGTTATACTCACCTAGTTTCGATTCCAGAGGACTATTTGATATTTTCTTTAGCGTAGTGTCACGGGTTTACTGAGAGAATACGTTTGGTTAATGTATTTTGTGTGAGGCCACTCGATTTGTTAACTAAATATGAAGACTGGATGGTGCCATCAAGGGGTAATCTGGGAGCCACGAGTGAATGAGTGAGTGAGTGAGTGAGTGAGTGAGTGAGTGAGTGAGTGAAACTCACTCCAGCAGAAGCCAAGGAGGGGAAAGTGGAGTTAATAAGTGCTAAATGGGGGGGGAAGAGATTGAAGGGGTGGGGGAATGGTGGACAAGTGATGGGGGGGGGGGGTTCGGAGGAAGGGGAGAGAGGGGGGGGATAGAGGGGGATGGGGAAGGGGTGGGGGTGGGGGGGGTGTAGGTGGCAGCGGCTCGTGGCCTGACGGGGTAATAATACATTCATTACCGTGAATAATTACCTCATCTCCTGGCAGACTCCGTCATCCCTCACAGGGAGGGGGGGGGGGGGGACGCTATAACGACCATACCACGTCGTCCGGGGACACCCGCTGACGGAGACACCCCCCCCCCATTCCTGAAAAGGGACGCCATCGCTTCCCCCCCCCAGTCCCCAGCCCCCCCTTCTTCCGTAGGGGGTCCCTGTCCCCCTACCTGATAGACCCCCCCCTGATAAGTATGCTAACTAGCTACCGTCCACCCAACTGCTGACGGTGAGCCTTATACCGTCCAAATCTAACTGTTAAGGGGGAACCACTCTACTGTCTATACGCGCCACTGGTGAGAAAGATCCTTACCGTCCACCCACACCGCTGACGGAGATCCCTATGCTGTCTACCCCACTGCTGACAGGTGGGTAACCCCCCCCCCCCGTACCAACACTCATATTACTGACAAACAATACAGTCAATGGACCCTCCTGACATGGGCCCTCCTGACCTGGGCCCTCCTGACCTGGGCCCTCCTGACCTGGGCCCTCCTGACCTGGGCCCTCCTGACCTGGGCCCTCCTGACCTGGGCCCTCCTGACCTGGGCCCTCCTGACCTGGGCCAACCTGACCTGGGCCCTCCTGACCTGGGCCCTCCTGACCTGGGCCAACCTGACCTGGGCCCTCCTGACCTGGGCCAACCTGACCTGGGCCCTCCTGACCTGGACCAAGAGTCACCAACTATTTACTCAACCCCGTACGAAACCTGTGCATCATTCAACAAGCTTGAATAGCTTGATTTACATTTAATAAACAGTTAACGCGCTCGCCAACGTCACAACCCAACTTTATTATCGTTATCAACAACGCCGTAGTGCTTCGAAGCTCAAAAAACTTTTAATAAGTGTAAAACAACGCCGCTATGATTGAAACAAAGATGCACAGGTTTCGTAACGGCCCTGATGAGTCTTAGCCAAGGAAGCTGCCCAAATACGCTTCTCTCTCTCCTTGTTCGGTTCCAGGACGTCTTAGAGTTGGGAAGAATATTGTAAAAAGTTTAAGTAATACCGATTTGGTAGAGAGCGAGGATGTTGTTTAAGATTCGTTACTTGGAACAATAAGTTCCAAGTAGCACGGGCTATGGTGAGCCCGTAGTGAGAGCGAGGGGTGAGTAATGACAGGAGGAGGGAAGGAAGAGTAATGGGGGTTAGGTAAGAGGGGGAGGAAGAGTAATGAAGGGTTAAGTAGGAGAGTAAGAGTAATGATAAGCAGGTATAGATAAGAGGGTGTGGAGAATAATAAGGGGTACGTTATATAAGAGAAGGGGTACGGGTAATGGGGGATTATGTAAAGGGTGGTAGTAATAGATGTAAATAGGGTGGATAGGATAGAAAATATGGGTAGGCGTTCGGGGGAAGGGACGGGGAGAGGAAAGGGGGGATGGGGGGAGGTAAAGCTGCTTGAGAGAGGGGAAAATATGAAACACGAAGAGTGAGGTGAAACAGGTTTAAATGAAACATTAGTTCTCACCTTCGTCAGATTTCCTGCGTCAGTTGTCAGACTTCCTGCGTCAGTTGTCAGACTTCCTGCGTCAGTTGTCAGACTTCCTGCGTCAGTTGTCAGACTTCCTGCGTCAGTTGTCAGACTTCCTGCGTCAGTTGTCAGACTTCCTGCGTCAGTTGTCAGACTTCCTGCGTCAGTTGTCAGACTTTCCTGTGTTATATCGCGTGTTAACTCTACACATCGCCATATCTCTTCATCCTCCCCTCCCTTGCACTAAGTTTCCCCTCCCCTTGCACTAAGTTTCCCCTCCCCCTGCTCTATGCCTCTCCCATGCTCTATGCCTCCCCTCCCCCTGCTCTATGCCGCCCCTCCCCCTGCTCTATGCCTCCCCTCCCCTGCTTTATGCCTCCCCCTGCTCTATGCCTCCCCTCCCCTGCTCTATGCCTCACCCTGCTCTATGCCTCCCTCCCCATGCTCTTTGCCTCCCCTCCCCCTGCTCTATGCCTCCCCTCCCCCTGCTCTATGCCTCCCCTCCCATGCTCTATGCCTCCCTCCCCATGCTCTATGCCTCCCCTCCCCCTGCTCTATGCCTCCCCTCCCCCTGCTCTATGCCTCCCATCCCCCTGCTCTATGCCTCCCCTACGCCCCCGTCCTCCCATAAACACACACACATCAAATTCTACCAAACAACCAAACAGATTCGTATTGTTTACGGGCACTGAACTTCATCTGTTTTCCGTTCTAGTCTGAAGGAGAAAAAAAAGATGTTCTCTCGAAATAAAATAAAAAATTATATAATGCGTGTTTACCATCCGAACGTCGACACTGGACGGTGCGAGTCGCTCTCAGTACAACATGGCTACCGTGATGCTTCGAACGTTCGAATAAGGGAAGGGTTCGAAAGTTCGAATAAGAGGGGGGGCGTCGTTGTACAATAACAACTCGGAGTGGTCATTCTAGGACCATCTTTATATTTCGAACGATCGAATAATATTGGAGTTAAGGTGTAGCAACATATATATTTTATATATGAAGTAACTATGAATACCAAATGCCTAACTTTCTTCACCTCATCACCTACGACCATTAATACAGCTTCATCCAAACGTATTAAACCCCAGAAATACAACAGAAAGTTTTCGAAAAGAAAATTCCAAGTTTATATTCAATATTTGCTATATGTACAAATATTAATATTTTATAACTACCAATAATGACTAAAATAACTGCAGAATTGTCTAATAATGAAATTAAATTTCCCGTTTTCCCCCCAATCAATATTTTGATGATTCTCATTTGGCTTTGATAAGAGGAAAACTTTCTTGTATTCCTTTAATAGGTTCAGGTAAGTGTATTCCACTTATTCAGTCTCTATTGCCCAATCAGCTCTATTGTATCAGTTCAAGAAACTAAATTTGTCTTATTTGAATCCATTGTTAGAGGCTCTAACGCCACTTGGGTATCTACAACCCTTGTTTGGATCCACTTTTCTTATGGGTAATAATCCCTCCATCTATACACTTCAATCCTGTCGTCTGGGACCCTACGCATCCTATGGGAGAGTAAGCTGAATGAGTGAGTGAATTGAGTGAATTGGTGAGTGAAGTCAGGTCTTCCACACAAGAGCTCTGTGTTAATGTCAGCCTTCCTGTGTCAGTTGTCAGCCTTCCTGCGTCAGTTGTCAGCGTTCAGGCGTCAGTTGTCAGCGTTCAGGCGTCAGTTGTCAGGCTTCTTGCGTCAGTTATCAGCCTTCTTGCGTCAGTTATCAGGCGTCCTGCGTCAGTTGTCAGGCTTCCAGCGTCAGTTGTCAGCCTTCCAGCGTCAGGTGTCAGCCTTCCAGCGTCATTTGTCAGCCTTCCAGCGTCAGGTGTCAGCCTTCCAGCGTCAGTTGTCAGCCTTCCAGCGTCATTTGTCAGCCTTCCAGCGTCAGGTGTCAGCCTTCCAGCGTCAGGTGTCAGCCTTCCAGCGTCAGTTGTCAGCCTTCCAGCGTCATTTGTCAGCCTTCCAGCGTCAGGTGTCAGCCTTCCAGCGTCAGTTGTCAGCCTTCCAGCGTCATTTGTCAGCCTTCCAGCGTCAGGTGTCAGCCTTCCAGCGTCAGGTGTCAGCCTTCCAGCGTCATTTGTCAGCCTTCCAGCGTCAGGTGTCAGCCTTCCAGCGTCAGGTGTCAGCCTTCCAGCGTCAGGTGTCAGCCTTCCAGCGTCAGGTGTCAGCCTTCCAGCGTCATGTGTCAGCCTTCCAGCGTCAGGTGTCAGCCTCCCAGCGTCAGGTGTCAGCCTTCCAGCGTCAGTTGTCAGCCTTCCTGCGTCAGGTGTCAGCCTTCCAGCGTCAGGTGTCAGCCTTCCAGCGTCAGTTGTCAGCCTTCCAGCGTCATTTGTCAGCCTTCCAGCGTCAGGTGTCAGCCTTCCAGCGTCAGGTGTCAGCCTTCCAGCGTCAGGTGTCAGCCTTCCTGCGTCAGGTGTCAGCCTTCCAGCGTCAGTTGTCAGCCTTCCTGCGTCAGGTGTCAGCCTTCCTGCGTCAGGTGTCAGCCTTCCAGCGTCAGGTGTCAGCCTTCCAGCGTCAGGTGTCAGCCTTCCAGCGTCAGGTGTCAGCCTTCCAGCGTCAGGTGTCAGCCTTCCAGCGTCAGGTGTCGGCCTTCCAGCGTCATTTGTCAGCCTTCCAGCGTCAGGTGTCAGCCTTCCTGCGTCAGGTGTCAGCCTTCCTGCGTCAGGTGTCAGCCTTCCAGCGTCAGGTGTCAGCCTTCCAGCGTCAGGTGTCAGCCTTCCAGCGTCAGTTGTCAGCCAATATGACAACTGACAGTTGTACAATATATTCAGTATATTGTACAACAGTCAGTTCTTGTACAACATTCTTTCTGCAGTTTCCTCTATTCTACTATTTATATGTTAAAGGAAGAGATGAAAGTGGAAGACGTAGAACAAACAGACAGGAAAGAGATAAAGAACGAACAGGTGGAAGAGGAATGGAAGAAGAAGAATGTAAAGAAAAGACGAGAGGAAAGGGATTGGAGAACAGGAAAAGAGAAAGAGGCAGACGGATGAAGGAAGATGGAAGGGATTAATGGGCAATGGGACAAAAAAAATGGAAGGGTAGAAGAGGGGGGTTAGGAGCAGGTGATGGGGGGGTTGTGGGGGGGGGAGATGGGGGGTGGGTTCCCCACCTCAACGTTAAGATTAATGGTTTAACGATCGATGTGTTCGCCAGGAGAAGAATGAAGTCAAGATGTCAGACTACCAGAAAATAAGGTGTGTGGGGGGGGGGGGAGGAGGGGTAGTGATGGGGGATGGGAAGGAGAGGAGATGGGGGAGGGAGTTGCTGTGGTGGTAAGGAAGGGGATGCTAGAGGATACGCGGTGATGGGGCGAGGGGAGGAGGGGGGGTGATGGGGAGAAGGGAGGAGGTGGGGCGATGGGATAGACTGGTACTTGAGAGATGAGTAGTGAGGAGAACTGATAAAGAGGAAGAGGAAGAGGTGTCATAAGGAAGATATCACACGATAACTGTCTCTCTTCCTCCCCCCCTTCTTCCTCCTCCTCCTCTCTCCCTCCCTCCCATTCCCTCCTTCTCACACTCGTGACACATTAACACTTGCAATAAAAACAACGTTAAAGAACATGAGAACAAATATCATGCAATGATCTGTACAAAACTTTCCAACAAATATTCTAAATCAAAATCTAAAAAAGAATACAATAAAAACTTCAAGTCCTTGGAGGCAGAGAAGCCAAGACAGATGGTGCCGGAATAAAATAATGAACAGCTAACACAACTGATTTCCAGAGATGGAAGCTGGCGACTGATGGCAGAGCTTCCACACGAGAGGGGAAATGGGATGGGAAGGGAAGCCAAGAGGGAAAGGGGTAAAGCTTGCAGAGGCGGCAGAATGCGGGAAACGAGGAATATACAGCAGACATCAAAATCCAAAATTACATATCATCAAAATCCCTCGTCTGCGTAGCACGACAGCAGAGTAACTTAGATTAACTTAAGAGTAACTTAGGTCTAGAGCCAAGCTCTAGGCTCACCAACAACCACGACTGATAAAACCGGTTCCTACACTCATACTAAACGGTTTAATTCAAAACACTCCACGGGCTCACCATAGCCCGTGCTACTTGGAACTTTTTGTTCCCAGTAGCGAATCTTTAACAACAACGGTTTAATTCATGTATAAAGAACTGTGTAGGTAGTTCCCTTAAATCATAACTCCGCCCCCCCCCTCCCCCCAAGCCCGTTTGTTTCTACCCCCCCCCCCTCCCTTCCCACTGTCAGACTCCGAGAGTAGTCTCTACTGGGGAGAAGTTAGGGAGGGGAAAGGTATGGAAGGGAAGGGAAGGAGGGGGAAGGAAATAAATGGAGGAAGAGGGGAAGGAACGTCAAGTGAAAATGGGAATAGACGAAGGGACTGAAACAGGAGGGAAGCAGAAAGAAGCAAAAGAAACTGTGAAGGCCATAAGGAGAGAGAGAGAGAGAGAGAGAGAGAGAGAGAGAGAGAGAGAGAGAGAGAGAGAGAGAGAGAGAGAGAGAGAGAGAGAGAGAGAGAGAAAGAAATAAGCGGAAAGAGGGCCAACCACCTCCCCTGACAGGCAGGCACAGTGACAGACAGACAGATAGACGGGTCATCAAGATTTATCGTGGAGGGGGGCGGAGGAAAAGGGGCGGGGCAGGATGCAAAGCACAAAAAAAGAGATAGGATGAAGAGTGATGAAGTTGAGAAAAAGAGAAAAAGGGTGAATTACGGGTAAATAGAGGAAATAGGGTGAAACATGGCTAAAGGAGAGAAAAAAGAAATAGGGATCTAGAAAACAGCGAGAGGAAGAAGGAGGAGGAGGAGGAGAATAAAGAATAGAGGGAAATAAATTAACAGGTGGAGTGAAAAATATGGAGGAAGTGGAAAAGAGAAAGAGAGGAAACTTTAAATGGGAAGAACTGTGTAAGAATAAATGAGAGGGAGAGAGAGAGAGAGAGAGAGAGAGAGAGAGAGAGAGAGAGAGAGAGAGAGAGAGAGAGAGAGAGAGAGAGAGAGAGAGAGAGAGAGAGAGCAAGACCCTGGAAAACTCTGAACTGAACTCTGAACTGACCATGGAACTCTGGGCAGAACTGGGTAGTGAGGTGTTCAGTACCCGGTTCTGGTGTTCTATCGGTGTTCTGGGTAAAGAACACCCCCAAGATTGACTTAGAGTAACATGGAGGCAAGAACCGAAGGAGAACAGGAGAGACAAGGATAATATAATTATCAGGATAGAGCGTTAAGAAGGATATAGGAAAGCACAATAAGATCAGGGAGATGAGGAAGGAGTGAAGGACGGGTGCTCGCAACCACGTGAACCATCGGGGATCGAACGCCGATCTTGGAAGATGCGAGCCCGTCGCTGTACCCACTATAAGAGAGGAGAGCAGGTGTCAGGGCGTGAAGGTGCAGTGGTTAAAGGTCAAGTGGCAACAGAGGTCAAATGCTCGTTAATCAAGCCGCCAAACCCCGTGTTTATGGATGAAAAACGTTCTACATACAACTCACAACTGATACCGTTCGAACCTTTCTCGAACGGTGCTTTGCTGACGATTTCTGTTCGAATCGCAATTCTGTACATGCTTCACCCGCGGATTTCAAATACAAATAATCGTCAACAGAACCTAAACACCTAACTTACTCCTAACTATACGTAGAACATTAATATATAACAATATTAACTTATTATTGGAACAAACCTATTTTTAGTACACAGTATGTTTAACCTGATGAACGCGTCTTGGGGGATGGCCGCCGCTTTAACGAGCCTGGTCTGATGACAGGTTGCATGTAAAGTGATTTTCATGTATAAACATGGGGATTTGGCAATAGCATTAACGGAATTTGCCCATTGTTTAGCAAGTAATCCGTCCTCATAAACAGGGGCCAAAAGCTCTTTAATCCAGTCACCGAACGCCTTGTTATTGAATAAAAAAAAACTCTTTACACGCGATTCACAACTGATGGCGTTTGTTCGCTTCTCAAACATTGCTTCGTTCACGACCTGTGCTCCAAGTGCACCGCCCTAAATGCAGCCCGTCCTCATCAACAAAGGGCAAAATCCATTCCATCCACCCGCCAAACCCCAGCTGTTTATGAATGAAAAACGGTTTACACACGACTCGCAACTGATGACGTCCGAACACTTCCAGAACAAGTGCTTCACTGACAAATTATGTTCGAACCACAACGTTGTAAATGCTTCACCCACGTACTACAAATACAAATAATCGCCAACAGAACCTAAACACCTAACCTAAAAAGTGCCTAAATATGCACATTATGCTAATATATATATATATATATATATATATATATATATATATATTAATTTATATTTGAGAACATTCCTGTTTTGAAAGAACAGAATGTTAAAATTTATAAATGCGCCTTTGGGGTCGATCGCTGGATGGAATGGACTTGGTCTGAGGACGGGATGCTAAATGCTTCACCCACGTATTTAAAATGTCAATAATTGCAACAGAACCTAACTGGTTAGGCTTCTTAATCCTCGTGAGGGCAGTAGAACTCCAGGTTGCAATTCTTTTAACCATGTTGTGGTACAGTTAACTAAGGCGCATCTGGGAACATCCCGTGCGTAGGTTCGAACCCTCTTCACGGCTCTTGTGGATTTGTTAATGTCATATATATATATATATATATATATATATATATATATATATATATATATATATATATATATATATATATATATATATATATGTTTTTTTATGCAGTACTCATACCAATCATTCGCTAACAATCGTTATTTGCATATTCATTTATTTATGTAAATTGTTAATCATTTCATTATTAAAGCCAAGGGGACCATCACATCTCAAATATATATTACACAATACTCCCAGTTTCAAATTGCCACGAATATTACATTTTATATTTACGCCAAATAATAACAATACCATAATTAACTTTTGCTTTACGGCTGTATTGAAAACCTGCGAGGCATAACAGGCCATACACAAATTTATCGTATGACATGTATTCTCATATATCCTATATATATATATATATATATATATATATATATATATATATATATATATATATATATATATATATATATATATATATATATTTTTTTTTTTTTTTTTTTTCAGTGTCCCATCTCCCTGTAATCTTTCTGATGAAACGTTTTGCAGCTCCCATTACCATTCAACTCCGTCCTCTATCTATCTAATCTATCTAACCTATCTATCTAATAAATAAGTTATATCTAACCACTACACACAGAAATCACAATAGCGTGATGCATCAAATGAACAAATCCACAAGCGGCCTACCATCTTTTACCATGTCGTAGCTCAGTCGATTAAGGCAGCCTCTGGGATGCTCTCGGACGTGGGTTCGAATTTTCGTCACGGCCCTTGTGGATTTGTTCGATATCTAACCATGCTGCCTATGTGGTTTCACTTGATTATACGTTTTCCCCTTTTCATATCTGTAGATTACTGTGCAAAAGAAAATTGTCTCGCGTGTCTTTAGGAATCTGTGTTATCATAATTTGAGTCTATGACCACTTGTTATCCATGCTGTGTTATGAACTTGTGTCCTAGTTATAATAATTGCTATCTACAGGCCCAAACCCCCCCAGTCCAGCCTATTGGTTATCTTCTTGAGGTTATCTTGAGATGATTTCGGGGCTTTAGTGTCCCCGCGGCCCGGTCCTCGACCAGGCCTCCACCCCCAGGAAGCAACCCGTGACAGCTGACTAACACCCAGGTACCTATTTTACTGCTAGGTAACAGGGGCATAGGATGAAAGAAACTTTGCCCATTGTTTCTCGCCAGCGCCTGGGATCGAACCCGGGACCACAGGATCACAAGTCCAGCGTGCTGTCCGCTCGGCTCCCAGGATGAATAAATACTATCTACTGCCAGCCATCTGATCATAGACGGTAGACAGAATAATACTACCAGCAACACTTAACAACCTTCATTCGCCGAGATGGAATATTTAAAAGTCAATTGATGATTTCAGTTTTGACTTTAAACTGACCAGCAAGATCCCACTTCCAATATACAGGAACGGCTG